AAGAATGGTTGTTTGCAGGAAGAGGGTTGTTATCGAGTGTAAAGATCCAGCTTATTGCAGGCAGTTGAAGCGGACAGATTGTAGTTGTCACGGCGTATCAAGAAAGGAAACAAGAACAAATAGGAAGAAGGGGGTTAAGACCTTCCTAGAGTGGAGTTTACTTCACTGTTCACATTTGATTGTATCGGTGAAAGCACAGAACAGAGCTAAAGAGAGACAACACAACAAACAACAGTACATGTGTTTTCTCTGCTTGTATTTTGACTGCTTAGAATGGAGCAATTTTATAGTGATGATTAATTAATATTATTTTTTAGTCTAATTTATTTGTTGTTTGGATATCAGGGCTAATGATTACTGTGGGATTTTTATACATGATTATTTACAAAATTTGTTGACATATATTTAATTGGAATACATATACTGATGTTTATCTTTTATATTGCAGGAGAGCGAGGAGTGCGACAGCAGCCTCTGCACGCAGTAAAGATGGGTTTTATAGTCTTTATACTATATACTATATCTATATAAAGTGAGGAGGGCTCAAGGGCCTGATAGAAACGTCCAGAGGGCCGGGGTTTGTCCACCTGGTCTAGTTAGAGAAGTACTGTGGTTTATTACTAGGGGTGAGCATTTCCTTGTACCTGGCAATACAATATGATACAACACATATTCAATATAATTATAGATAATGATAAACCAAAGCGATTTACCCATTGAGGCTGGGAAAGCATTCCTGCATTTCTACCTTTCAAGCCGGGAGCGCTGATGCCCATTTCTACCTTTAAGGCCGGGAAAGCGGACACGTCTTTTTTTCTTTTTTTGACCTATTCTCTTCATTGATCAATTCTCTTGACCAATGAAATGCATCAAGATAAAACAGGCATGAGAATTATCTGCGGATCTGCAAATTCCTTTTTCTCGCAAAAAAATCATTTCTGTGAAATGTGTGACCACGGGCAGTTGTTTGGACCATCCTGTAAAGACGTTTTTCGAGAGGTCCACCCCCATCGGCCAGGGGTGGTATTGCAAGCATGTCAGCGCACGTCATTTTTGGCCACTTTTGAGCCGGGGACCCGCCCCCAATGCATATGATATAACCATTACAAAAATGCATCTGGTTTGTCCAATGATATTAACATGTCCATAAATAACTAAAACTACATTAACTATGAGTAATTAAATTAAATATTCATGTTTAACTTCCATTCTGAGTAATTTATGATCAAATAATCATTACAACTTTAATCATATTACCAATACATTCTTTATAATTGATATGCCAACAGATTTGATTCAACAACACTGACAATAGATTTCAACACAAATAACAGGAAAAAAGTTTACATTTTCAGCTGTATACAGTTTTGAATTGATTTGATCAAGAAGCCTTATGGTTGTAGATAGGGATGTAAATCGGCGACCGTTTAACCGGTGGTTGACCGTCACAGCGTTAACCGGTCAAAGCTGTCGGTTAAAAAAGAGAAAAAGGGGAGAGGGGAGGTCTCTTAATAACGCTATTTTAAGCCCTATTTGCACGGTGTGACGAGCGGGTCCATATCTAGCTGTGTGCGCCCATGTATTATAATCTCCGGGACGACTCTCACGCCGCACGAGCCACATATGCACACACACACGCGCGTGCACACACACACACACACACACACTTTCCCCCCTCTCCATACGTAACATCCACACGCATCATCTCTCCCCTCTGTTACCGTCAAAGTTGCACACTGGCGCGGGTCAGAACTACATTGGAGCTTACATTTACACACACACACATATACATACACGCACACATACACACATACATACACACACACATACACACACACACACCGGTCTGTCGCGCTCCTCTGTGTCACGGAGCCCAAAGGATTCGCGCAAATACGCGGCTCCAGTCAAACCACATGGAACATGTTTGTGTTTATGGTCCTCGGGATCAGCTCCACACACATCACTTGTATTTAAACTTTTGTGAAGACCTGTGAGACGCGGCTCGTCACTCGCTGCTCTGACCATGTGAACGAGCCGTCGTTTGCTGCTAGAAAGTTTTGGTATTAACCCGCAGCACAGCAGAATGGGAAGATTAAAAAAGCAGTTCTCTGTGCGCAAAGGTGCCGGAGCTGTTGCGGGTTTGGGCGCCGCTGTCTCAGCTCTGATCCAGTAGAACGCAGAGCTGCACTTATGAAAAGTACGCGGCTCGAAATGGCTGTTATTTCAAAGAACGTGGACTATTTTAAACTACGCGGTTAACCGGTTTCAACCGGTTAATGAGGCTCGGTGGTCGGTCATGAAAATTCATAGTTTTTTACATCCCTAGTTGTAGAAAAATATTATTAAAGACTAAGTTACAAAAATGTAATAATGTGTTTTAGTATAAAATCTTGTCAGAGTTAAGCATAACATTTAAGTGCTCCAATGTGCATTTGTGAAATGTTTGGATCTGTCCAAAAGCAGTGCTAATGACAGTGCTGCACCCAACCAGAGGTCTTGGTTGCGGCTTAACAACCTCTTAATTACAACTTGCAACGCACCAAAACATTTCAGCAGCTCCGGCAGAAAATGTAATTAATGAGGAAGATGTGAGAATGAGAGTATTCTGCTGCAATGTTGTTCTTGGGGGAGAACTTCCCCACTGTGCTGCTGAGAGCTTTGTATGGCTCTATTTCTACACATTTAAGGTCTGAGAAGCATTCCATCTCAATCTGGACATTGCTTCGGAGGCTGACAGAATGACTACAAAGACAAATTGGATGATTGGTGAAGAATAAGCCCAATCCCTCTCTATTTCAACACTTCACACCATGTTTGTCAAATCCAGTTTTGCAATGGACGAGAAGAGAACATCTTCCTGTGAAGTGATTGTTAACGGAAGCAGCCCTAAATGAGAACCAGCTCTTTGGAATGAATTTATAGAGAGCAAGTCAACAAGCATATGTTACTCAATGTTTCCAGTAAGGTTTTTAGTCACAATGAACTGTTCTGCCTCAGGACAAAACAGTATTCAAATTTCTATTAAAACTAAGCGCACCAAAACAATACTGTAAAACACAAGTGGCGCCATTTTGTCAGAGATGACCTATGTTTTGAAATTGATTGAAATTGTTGTTCACACAGGATATTGGAATGTATCGGCATTGGTATCTGACATGACAAGCTGGACTACTGCATTTCTAATTAAATCATTCAATACAATCTCAGAACCACAATTTATTTCGATGTTAACCTTTTAGTATAACCATTGATGTTCTTCCTGACTTCTTCCTGACAGACATACATTACAACATGTACTTTCACAACTTCTGATCCACACACAAGCAATAGGCATTACAACGTTGCTTTGCTGTTAAAATTACTGTTATATTTGGTCATTGTGTGTGCACTTAATATTTCTCTACAAAAAGACAATCTCCTGAGGCAGGGTTAAAACGTAATTGTCTCTTCTGACCTGTGTTAAGGAACTTTGTGGAGGTGGTGCAGTATTAATGGTGCAGAAAATACTATGTTATCTATCATCTAGTTTGCATCATAACCATACTCCTCCACTCTATGCCATTCCTTGAGGGTTCAACTTCTGTCCCAAAGAGGCTGACTGATGGAACATGTTTGTGCCATTGTGTTATGCAAATAAAGTGACTTTGCCTGACTTGAGCGCAAGGCAATGTTTGTGGATCCCATGTGTGACGAATGTGTCAGAACAAGCATATGCGAGTGGAAAACTGAGAATTACACCCCCCAGTCTGTGTACTCCTCCCCCCTTTGTGCCTCTGTGGGTGTGTGCGGCAGACAAACAATGCAGCCCCGCAGAGCCCGAGCACTATGGTGATGCAGGGAGAGAAAAGAGCGCTTGGAAAAGTGGAGGGCTGGGTGGTATTCAGGTCCCAGTGTGTGGGAAGACCTTATGGGCCCCGTAGACACGCCATTCCTTCACCCATAGTCATTATACCAGAGCAGGGATACAGAGGCAGGGCAGACGCTCAGGACAGGGGGGGAGGAGGACACACAGAAGAACTTTTCAAACTGAGCAGAAAGAAGGAGGAGGGCATCGTAACTCCGGGTTTAACAACAATATGGACCAGACACATACCCTTCTTCAACAGCAACAATGATCTGAATTAAATAGAGAAAGGGGAGAGAAGTCTAACTTTTAGCATGAAGGAAACGCTACAAATTCATATCTAAAGCAACGCATAGTTCAGTGGTGATATAAACTGGAAAATAATGAATCACTACTGCACTATAATAGACAAAGCATCAGAACAGGATATGATTATAACATAGAAAACGTCATTATTTCACATGTCTGAGCTGGAATAGTACTTACTATTACAATAATCCTACTTTGCATGATTTGAATGTATTTATTGTCTCTTTTTTTTAACTATTTTGCATCTTTTAACTCTAACCTATGTATGTATGTATGTTTGTATGATTGCGAGCAAGGGACCAGTGCACAATTTCCTTCGGGATCAATAAAGTATATATCATAGATGAAAGTATTTGAATTATTTGAACAATAGACATTAAAACACAGTACAGAACATTTGTTGTAACAATGACAGAGCATGTTTAAAAGGGAAGTAGATAGTTGCGAGTTCAATTCCAGGCAACAGCTCTTTCATCACTGAACTGAGAATCTGCCTCAAACAGTAAAAGCTAAACATTGAGAATTAACCTAATGAAATGTTGACGTGAGAAGAAATGAATCACTTCTCACGTCCTAATTTTTAAGAACATCTACAACATCAGACAGATTTACAGGTTGTGCTGGCCAGTGTTTATTTCAGGATATTTTTTCCATTCACAGATATGTTGTCTAACTATTAATGGAAGGAAAAACAACAGTTCAATACATAAATAATAATAATTAAACATCAGTGGAGGGAAATGTATGACTGATGCTAACAGCTGACATTGGAAAACGAATGTTGATACTTATTACTATGAAATTTACACTTCATCTAAAAAGTACAGACAGAGGAAGTCAGACTTACCCAGAATATGATGTTGAATCCGAATAAGAAGTATTTGACGCAGCAGCTGACTTCTGCTCCTTTAAAATGACGGTGTTTTCTGCTCATTCTTCTAAGGATATGGCTAACTCGCTGGCTAGGCGACTTATGACTGCAAATACTTTACAAACTCGGCCAAAGCTGCAGTTCCTAAAAAACTAAAGCTATGGCAAGATCTCTCCATTAGCTACACGGCATCAAGTTTACTCCCTGAGACATTATGTGTCAGGCACGGATAAGGAGCCAATACATTCATCAATACTAGGCTTTAGCTTTAACCATTAGCTTGCTAGGCCAGCTAGCTCGTAACTTCTATGGTTAGCATTAGCAGCTAACAACAACAATTCTAGGGAGACACTTGAGGCAGATTCAGCTGCAGTTTGGTTGATAATTGCGTAGTTTTTCTTTGGATTGACAGCACCCACGGCGACCACCCGATGGTGTTTTAAATAAATATAAGTCCCCTTCTTTTGCTTGTTCCAGGTTCGACGCTTGAAATCCTCATCGTTGTTGTTTGGTGCTGTAAAACAAGCCCCTGCTGTCAAATAAGGGAACCACTGAGAGGGAGGCGATCGCCCCTGCACCTCAACAGCGGCCTCTGGTGTTGCACTCTGCCCCTCCACAATGAGGTATACAAACAGAAATCAAAGCTGCAACACACACAAACACACACACACACACATATATATATATATATATATATATATATATATATATGAAAAGCTTGAGAAATACCAAGGTCTCAGAGAGGAGCTGGAGAGGGCCTGGAGGGTAAAACATGGCAGCATGTCCACTGTCTGCTCAGTGTCTCTCTCTGGACTAACTCGTTTTAATGGATTTTTTACTGCTTTTAATTCTTTTTAAAGTTACAGTTTAATGTATTTTTTATTGAAACTTCTTCACAAGCTCTTGAGAATTGTGAATTGGAGCCCAGAGCAAACTGAGACAATGAAGATGTGTTGCTGAAAACGTGCTAGCTCGGAGGCTACCACGAGGGCACCACGTCATGAGCTTTTATTAAACCTACACAGACATGGAACGCGACACTGCAATAACCACAAACCCTATAAACGACATTAGTCGCCTCACATTGGAGTTTCGTGAGAGGGACCGTGCCACTATTGCAGACCTCCGTAAAGAAGTCCTTCGCCTCACTGCAGAACTACAGGAAAAACAATTACTCGTGTCCAAACTCTTTGATGTCGCTGGCGGGCAGCACTCACGACTTATGTCACTGAGCGCTGCATACTGTGACACTGTCGTGTGGGAGAGGTCTGTCAGCTCTGGACCCTCCTGTTCTACACCTAAGCGCCCGGTTCCGAATGAGGAACCCGCGAACTGCGAGGAGCCATCCAGCGCCGTGGCCCATGTCCTGAGCCTGTCAAACCGCTATGCAGCCCTCTCCGCTGACATCCCAGCCCCCTCAGCAGACCCTCTGGACTCTGCAGCGTACTCTGCCGTTCGTGGATCTAAGTCCACTGCGAGAAAAACGCTCCTAAAGGAAGCCGTCCTCAGACGAAAGAGTGGTCATTCCCCTTCTATGACCCCAGTGCATCACCACCGCTTACCTTCACCGGGTCAGCAGCAGCGACCCGAGCCTGCTCCTCACGCCGCTCCAGCGTCCCCGAGCACACAGCGTGGGTTGCCCGGAGCTGAGAATCAACACCCCCGCTCCCCTCCATGTGTTCAGCAGCGCCCTGGTTCGGACTCATCCCTGGATGAGCCCGCTGGTTCTGGCCATGGACACCGAGCGCCCTCTCCGCGGCTACGTCCACTCTTCGCCCCGACTACTCTGATTGTTGGAGATTCCATCGTGAGACACGTCCGCTTTTTTAACGCGGTCACTCAGTGTTTTCCCGGAGCTACTGTGCCAGACCTGCTCATACGTCTCCCTCCTCTGCTTCAGTCCCTGCCTGATACCATTTCAAAGGTAATCGTGCATGTGGGGATCAACGACATGAAGCTGCAGCAGTCCGAGGTCACAAAGAAGCATTTTATGGATCTATTCCGCCTCCTCCAGTCCTCCGGGTTGTGTGTTTTTATCTCTGGTCCAGTCCCGACTGTAAACCGGGGAGACTGCTTGTACAGTCGCGTAGTGGCGTTGAACATGTGGCTCCAGTCTGCATGTAGCTCGTTTAACTTTATTTTTATGAATAACTTTGGCCTTTTCTGGAAGCGTCACGTGGCTTATTGTCCAGACGGTCTGCACCCAAATAGATATGGCACCAGCTTGTTGACGGATTACCTACGCCACGTTATTCAGTGTTCCCCGAGGGGGGCGTGACTGTTTACATCGGAGCCCCCACCACCACCACCCTCCTCCTTCTTCTCCTGCTCACCAGCACCGGGTGAGTACTGTGGTGCAAACACTGACCCCTTTCCGTCTGGCAGTGAAATAACAGTCTCGCCTCTGAACCGTGCTGCCTCCTGCTCTAAACAACGAAGCAATGCCGTCCTGAATCCGGGACTTACACAGCAAAAGAGTTCACATGTTAGACAAATAGAAACTGTGTGTGTTCCTCGCATCAGTTTCAAAAAATGTTTTTATTTGAATGGAAAACAAAATCATAACAGAAGGACAGCAGTTAGACATTCAAATCTAATTCCTGCTCCTTGTAAAAATCAATTAACTAAACCCACTGTTACTGATATTAATTTTAAAATTGCTATGCTTAATGTCAGATCACTGTGCAACAAATCATTTTTAATTAATAATTTTATCCGTTCTTATGATCTTGATTTTATGTTTCTGACTGAAACTTGGCTTGACCAGAGTACAGGTAATGCGGTTTTAATAGAAGCAACGCCACCAAACTTCAAATTTGAATCTGAAATACGAGAAAATAAAAGGGGGGGAGGCATTGCTGCATTATTTAGAGATCGTATTATCTCTCATAGAATTCTCCTTGGAAATTTTCTATCATTTGAGTATATTTCTTTTAAAATAGAACAAAAACAATCTCCTTCTATTCTTATCATTGTCCTGTACAAGCCACCGCAGTCTTGTCACAATTTCTTTGATAATTTCACTGAGTTGCTTTCAGTTGTTTGCACCGATTTTGATAGTTTAGTGATTACAGGTGATTTTAATATTCATGTGGATAATGGCAATGACAAAAATGCAAAAGAGCTGAGTTCTGTACTTGAAACATTTGGTCTCACTCAGCACGTGAGTGGCCCCACCCACAGCAAAGGGCACACTCTAGACCTGCTGGTTACAAAGGGGGTTAATATTTTAAATGTAAATGTGGTTGACGTGGCTCTGTCAGATCACTTCTGTGTATTTTTTGACATGTGTTTTGATAGTAAACAACCATATATATCTGAATCTGCAATTGTCAGACACAGACACATAAATGAAAACACAACCGAACTATTCATGGGAATGATAAACTTTGAGAACACATTGTGTTCTACTGTTGACGAATTGTTTAACTCTGTCACCGCCAATGTTATAAATGTTCTGGACATCATCGCTCCTGTGAAGGTTAAAATGATTACAAATAAGCCAAAGGCCCCCTGGACTAAAATGGACTCAGTCATGGTACAGAAGAGAGAGTGCCGTAGGGCCGAGCGGAAGTGGCGAAAAATCCAATCTCCAGGTTGATCATGATATCTTCAAAAATGAGTTGTGCAAGTTTAACAGGGTGCTACGTAGAACAAGAGAAATTTATTTTTCTAAAACCATTGATGGCTGCAATAATAATCTACGACTTATGTTTTCAACAGTTAACGGATTAACAAACCCCCCTGTTCAGCTGCCATTCGAATTTGCTTCAGAATCTAAATGTAATGAGTTTGCACAATTTTTCAATGACAAGGTTCAGAGCATCAAAAACGCCATCACCTCCAAGGCAGAAATAACATTACAACAGCCGGTGAGGCTGTTTGAGCTATCGCACTTTGCACCAACAGATAATGAAACTGTCCAAGATGTTGTCTCTAGCCTTAGTTCCTCCACATGTAGCCTGGATGTACTACCCACTAAATTTTTTAAGTCTGTTTTGAGCAGTCTTTTACCTTTGCTCACACAAATAGTGAACATGTCTTTCTCATCTGGAACATTTCCAATGGCCCTGAAAACGGCAGTCATCAGACCCCTCCTAAAAAAGAGGAGTCTAGATGCCACAGTTCTTAAGAATTATCGCCCCATTTCAAATCTGCCGTTTATGGGAAAAATTCTGGAAAAAGTTGCTTACCAACAACTTACAGAATTCTTAGTAACTAATAGTTCGTTTGATGCGCTCCAGTCCGGCTTTAGAGCCAATCACAGCACTGAGACTGCACTAGTGAAGGTTACAAATGACATCCGACTTAACACCGACACAGGAAAAGTCACAGTTTTAGTAATGTTGGATCTGAGTGCTGCGTTCGACACAGTCGACCACGAGATCCTCATGCAGAGACTAGAGCACTGGGTGGGTGTCACTGGGACTGCCCTAAGTTGGTTTAGGTCTTACCTAGAAGACAGGAAATACTTGGTTCAGATAGGAAACTGTGTCTCAGATCATATGGCTCTGACCTGCGGAGTGCCACAGGGATCAATTCTGGGGCCTCTTCTGTTCAATATTTACATGCTGCCGTTAGGTCAGTTAATACGCTCCAACAATGTATCCTACCACAATTACGCTGATGACACTCAAATTTATGTCTCACTTACTGCAGGAGAACATGGACCAGTGGAATCACTCCTTCACTGTACTCAACAGATTAGTGATTGGATGCAAAATAACTTCCTTCAGCTAAACGCAGACAAAACAGAATTGATTGTCTTTGGTCCTCAGAAACAAAGAGAGAGCGTTATTCGTCACCTCCAGTCTCTCTCCCTGGAACCTGTAGGCAAGGTCAGAAACCTAGGAGTTATAATGGACTCAGACTTAAATTTTAACAGTCATATCAAATCAGTAACATCAGCAGCATTTTACCATCTGAAAAACATTGCCAAAATTAGAAACATAGTGTCTAAATCAGATCTGGAGATTCTCATCCATGCATTTGTCTCCAGTAGGTTAGACTACTGCAATGGCCTGCTCACAGGTCTCTCCAAACAGGCTGTAAAACAACTGCAG